CCGCCCGACGCGCGCGCCGAGCCATCGCGCCATTCACACCAGGCGCCTGCTCCACCGTCCCGCTCTGCAGACGACCATGTACCGCGCGCTCAAGAAGCCTCACGCGCACCAAGAGCTCCCGATTTGACTGACGAGTCTCAGGCGCAGTCCTCGTGGCCTTTGCAGCCGCATCCTGAGCCTCCTCCGCCTCCTGGTACGCCGTTTAGAAGCTCCTCGCGAGATCTTCCTCGCGGCTCCCAACCAGAACGTCAGTCGTATCAGCGGGACGGTCTTCCGCCGATTGTCGACTCAGCTGGCGAGATCCGCTGGATAGTCGAGAAGATTGTCGATCACGAAGATTCGCCCCATCGGTCGGGGCAGCGCCATGTGTCCACCAGTCGCACGGCTCCCGCCGCGCGCCGCTATAGGGTACGATGGCTTAGTTTTTCGGCGGACCAAGATACGTGGGAGCCCCGCGCGAATCTCCTTCGCGATGCCCCGGATGTGATCCAAGAGTACGACTCCAGTCTTCTTGCGCCGGATAGCGCCGCGAATAATCACGCGGCGATCGAGAGCGAGATCTCCAGTCTGCGCGATCACGCAAACGTGACCGAGAGCGACGCTGCTGGCGATCGCGCGAGCGCGACCGAGAACGACGACCCGAGTTCTCGTTATCCCAACGGAGCCGCGGAGATGCGCTAGTTGGCGCGACTAGTGGCGCTGGCCTTTTCGGACAGCGAGCGACGGTAACGTTGAATCCAGGCGTTCTCGCGATCACTGAGCGGATGCTCGGCGACATGGGCTCTCCACTCGTCCGTAGTCGGGCGAGACGACACGCACCTCCTGCAGCCTTCAGCAACTCGCACGTAGCAGATACGGTCGTCGGCGTTCCAAGCGCTGTCGCAGATTCGTAAACGCAGCTCGCCCAAGGAATGGCCCCCGATGATTTCTTCCCAGTATGCGATCCAGTCGGCGAGATTCTCTTCCTGCGTATGCGTCCGGTTCCAGCGCCGGATGAAGGCGCACCACGACTCCTGCAGCGCCCTGTGGTCGACGCCGTCCACCGGCTTCTGGCGCAGCGCACGAAAACGCCGGAAGAGGTCCTTCATCTCGTCCAGAGGCTCCGGATCTTGCGCTCCGGAGATGTCATACAGCGGCCAGGGTCTAAGCGCTTCGTCCATCACGTGGGTGCTGCGTGCCGCTGTCGTCGCGCTCATCAGTGACGTCGTTGTCGCTGGAATCTGCTGCTGCTGCTGTTCCATCGTCCGCGCCTGTTGTCTGCTGTGCAAGTCGTGCTGTACTTCTCCTGCGTGGCGCAGGATCTGTCTCGTCCCCGCCTCGCTCGTTCCCGTTGGCCACGATTTCCTTCTCGTTTCCCTTTTGATTGATTCGTTCTCCGCCCGTCGCTTATGCTGCGTAAGTGCAACTTTAAGAGGGGGGTGATGTAGTGGGCCATACCATTACATAAGTAGATAGATTTATATTACAAAAGTAGGTGCAGCAGCACACGGCTAGCGTGTGCTGAACTGCCGTCATCCTATTTGTTGATATATGGGAGCCAGACACATTATCAACCAATAAGGGGTTGACGTGTATTTGAGTGGTCAGGGCAAGCTGCCCTGGACCTAAATAAAAACAGAGTTGATTTTCCTTCAGACTAAGCACTTGGTTTCACCTTCGTGGAATTTTGTACGCTTCCTCATTGTTACGTGTAAGCTAGTAACGGACACTCTAGGCCCGTTACAAGTGCTCTAGAATGTAACAACAACTTTACATTTCCGTGATTATCCTAACTTCCTACGTCGGTCTGCTAGATTCACGACCCCGACCTAAGGAGGATTACCGCTACAAGCGACTTTGGGTAATTCATGTAAATTGAATTTTAATGTGTGTATCTCCTATGTTCCGGTATTTGAAATCACTGCCTCCTCTTTTGTAATCAGTGCGCCCTTTAACAAAGAAATCTCGGTACCGCATCGCCCCTGTCCTACCCATGTTCGACGTTTACGGGTAAGATTACTATCAAATCTCACAATTAGTGCTAAAAAGTAAAAAATACCCCAAGCTGATCCGGTTGAATGTTCGGCTCGTGAATGACCTGCCTCCATTATTTTTAAAGTGGTCCGCTGATGAGAGCTATTAATCGCATTTCGGTCGAATAGCTCTAGCTATTTGTATGCTGTCGCTCTTCCTATTGCCTCTTTATCTTACTCCTCTAGTGGAGTGTGGTCTGCGTCCGTCATTCCGTCCGTAACGGGCTGGGGTTAATAAAACTCACGCTAATGCAGGCGTTCTACTGGCTGACGATCGCAGTGAAGGCGGCCTCGATTCGCTAAAAGCTGCCGAGCGCAGCGAAGGCGGCCCCCATTGGCTAAAACACACATTATGTGTAGTACCTACTGTATGTGGACTACACATCGTACTTAAAAGCACCGTTTAAATTTCATTTTACCCCGCTGGAGCGCCACCTCACGCAAAAGGCGCTGCGTGTGTGCGGGTTAGTTTGCATTGGTAGCTTCGCCGATGTGCACACACGTACTATAGTCGTAGGAGCTGTTGAAAAAAAATGTAGGCTTTGGTGACTCATATTTCGGCCTTAATCGAAACGTTAGTACTTTTTGATAATACAATGATGCTTTTCGCTTTGTAGTTCTTTTCTAATACGTAAACTTACAATACTGTTTTAAAAAGTACTACTAAGACATTTCATATTTTTGCTTGCAGATATTAGTAGTAGTAGTGCATAAAATTAGTATATAAGCGTTATAAAAAATCACAATTTTACTACTACTAATACTAAAATAAATACTTTAAAATAAGATTATTGTGGCTTACAACACTGCCCCCATGAAAAAGTACCATCTTCCTTTGTATTTGTGCACGTAGTGTGCGACCTTAAGATATTGTGTGAACTTTCCAACAATATATGCTTTGTACATCAAACAAAATCGGAACAGCTAGCGCGGAGGCACGTGACTCAGCAAGAGCACGAAACACGAAGGAACACCGATCCACGCTATGTAGATGATGGGATAGAAGAGTAGCACGGAAGGTCGTGGACGATGATAGAAGACATAGCCGACGCAAGCCTCGAACTTTTACGTAGCGTGACAGATGGAAGACGGAAGAGCACACATCCATGAAAGGATAGAAGGACAAGAATGTGACGGGAGCGTACGGGCCACGGAAAGAAATTAAATATATAGACATCCCAGCATGCAAACCACGAAGTTTATGCGTAGCGTGAAAGCCGGAAGAACACGCAGCCATGAAAAGAAGAGATGGACAGACAATGACAGGAACGTACGGACCACGGAAAGGAACTAAATACATAGACACCCCAGCATGCAGAAAAGCACGGGCTACGGAAGAGCATGGACGTTCGAAGCCACGGTGGAGCAAGTACCGGTGAGAGTGCACAGAAACAATTCTCCAACAACACCACGGGTAAACATGGAGCACAGTCAACTGACCAAACCTGAGCCCGCAGGAGGCGAGAGGAAATCAGAAATCATCAATCTGTGGAGCACGATGCCTAGGTAGAACATGAGCTCACCGATCCACGGAGCGCGACACTACGGTAGCTAGCGATAAGACAGACGACAGCCCAGCCCCGACACCAGAGATAACACGACAGCATGGACGGTGGGTTAGCCACTAAACCATCGGAGAGCACGCTGCCACGCGAAATCACCGACTCACGGAGCACCATACCAGTATAGAACCTGAGCTTACTGAGCCACGGAGGACAGCAGTACATGAGAACATGATTGCACGGACTGCGGACCGCCCACCAAATGCACAGGGGGTGGGCTGGTATGGCTACGATTACACACCGTGGAGCACGATGGCATCGTATAGCACGATAACACGGACAACGCTGATGCACTGCACGTGCACAATACCATAGACAACATAACCACACCGCGATTGCACGATAGCGTGATACCGCGGTCGATGACACTTCATCAGGAGATCACGACGCACGGGCGACGGAACCACACGACTGCATGGAGGCACCAAAGCACGGAATAGCACCCTTTGGTTAGAGTACCGGCGATGGGAGACCAACGGCCACGAATGCCTATGTATTACGAAAGCGGTTCAGCCCGCGTAAACGCTTGAGAACAAGGAATAGTTAGGAGCCACGAAAGAGGCCGTACTAAAGTGCATGAGCTCAAAAGAGAGCGCATATCCACAAACAGGTTGGACCACGAATGAACAGAGAGCCACGAAACCAAGAAGAACACGGAAGAGCACAGGCCATTGAAGAACACGATATTCAACCTGTAGTACGGGATAACAGAAACGTACCAAACCACGATATTGTACAAAGCCACATGAGATTACGGACAGTTAAGTGGTTGACTACACGAAGCCACGACGTACTAGGTTGAACGATGTCCACAAATCACGCGACACCTAGAAGCACTAAATTTGCGGCCACCTCATCTCCAACAAACCATGCCACTCCGCCGCGTAGCGGCGGCGAACGGCTAGTCTTAAACATCTACTGCAGCAACCTGTCTGTCCGTCACACTAAATAGTCGTGCCTGTCACGCTTTTCCGGACAAATCATTGGATAAAATAATTTAAATATTCCTACTGGCTGCCGAGCGCAGCGAAGGTGGCCCCGATTGGCCTAAAAGCTGCCGGGCGCAGCGAGGCGGCCCAAATCGGCACCTTCTGCAACCCTGCGGGCCTTTGAACCCGCCTGAGCCACAATCTGCCACCCTACCGTGCGAGTAGTGAAGCGAGCCCGTGGCGAGCGGAACGGAGGCAAAATACAAGGAACGACATTCATTCTTACCCGCCGCGTAGCGGCGGCACTCGGCTAGTCAACCAATCAGACTGCTGTCTATAATTATTAGCTCGCGGAAGGACACATTAACGTGCAACCATCTGTTCTAAATAATGCGCTTTCATTGGCTATAATCGAATCTCGCTTAGGACAAAACTTCGCAGGGCGATGCGGTACCGGTACGCATTTTTGGCTTTTTAATAACCATCACTCACATCCGATGGATTTTTCCGGGCTTATTCCCTACGGCACGGTTCGAAGACGTGGCGCCAGCGTCACGCTGGCAGCGTGGGTTGAGCTGGCAGTGGAGGCTTCATTTTCAAAGATGCTCGCTGGACCAAGAACTACTACGATGCCTCCTCCTCGACTTCAAGTGTTAAGCCACCGCAACATGATGAATACTGCGAGCGCTGAGGAAACGCGCGGCCTGGGGAGCCGCCGCCGCTCCGCTCTGCAGACGAGCGCCAAGTTGGACGTCGTCGCCGAGGCTTGCTGTCGCCGGCAGCAGTGAGCGCAGAGCCTCAAGCCTCGCCCACGCGCTTCGCAAGTACTAAAGGAAGCAGCAAGTCTCCTCGATGACAAGAGGAAATAAAACAAGTGTCTTCTCCCACCGGAAGGCGCATAGTGTATTGGTCGGTGGGTCGATCGCCGGGCGGCCGGCGCTCTTCGTGGGGGCTCCCCCCTCCTTTTAGACAGCCCAGAATGACGGAATTCTGACTCCAGTCTCCGCGAGTGATATGCCGCCTCCTAATCAGCAGAACGCCCTCTCCACCCAACTTGGTTTCTCCAAATATTTAAATCAGCTTCGACGATCTCCAGTTTGTTTGCATGCACGCCGCGAGAGCCACTCGACAACACCCCTCCCTGGCTGAGGGTGCCGCAAGAGCAAAAGGCTTGCGACCGGAAGGAGCGGACTCGCAGTGCGCGCACTTACTAGATACCGACGAAAGCATCCATAAACATGTTCCCCCAACTAAGACTTACAAATCCTTAATAGTACTACGTAGTAAAAACTACAGTAGTTTCATTAAAACTTTCCCGGATTTCTTCTTCATTTTTCGAGTCTCTTCGTGAAGAAGAGAAACGGATCCTACACTACCGGTAGGCTTTTGTCCTTAAATTCGGGCGACCAATAAGAGCTTCGATAAACCATCACTTACAGTACAAGGCATCGATGGAGGCAGCAGTGCAACAGACCAAAGCGATCATCGGACGCGAGTTTGCGACACCGTCGACAGCTACCGATAACGATGTTGCCAACGCGGCAGCCTTCGACCCTGTGGCGCTTGGCCTGGAGCCAGATTTCGTGCTCACCAACTACAGCGCGCTTAAAGGCTGTGGCTGCAAACTTCCTCAGGCTAAACTTCTGGGCTACCTGGATGACTTCGCGAACGATCTTAAACCTAACGAGACGCCAGGAATGGATTCAAGCGTAGTTAAGATCTCACACGGCACGGACCTGTACTTGGTGTCCACTACCGACTTTTTCTTCCCTTCGGTCGAGGACCCATACGTGCAGGGCAAGATCGCATGTGCCAACGTTCTGTCGGACGCCTACGCTATGGGTGTCACTGAGGTGGACACGATGCTCATGATTCTTGGTGTGTGCCGTGATATGAGCGAGAAGCAACGTGACGTCGTCACCACTCAGATGATCCGCGGCTTCAACGACCTTGCTCGGCAGGCGTGCACCAACGTCACAGGGGGGCAGACCGTCATGAATCCATGGCCAATTGTCGGTGGCGTCGCTATGAGTGTGCGCAGTGGTGAGTAACAATAAAATATGAGTATATCCCTACATGAGGATGAGATAAACTGTTTATTTTAATGCCTGTAGAGAGTCAGATTATTCGCCCGGAGAACGCAGCAGTGGGGGACGTGATAATTCTCACCAAACCTCTCGGCACCCAAGTCGCTGTAAACTTATTCCAGTGGAAGAAGAGACCTGATCGCTGGCAGCGTGTGGAAAACGTCGTGACCCACAAAGACGCCGACGTTGCCTTCCAGATGGCATCCGAGTCCATGAGTCGACTCAACCTCAACGCTGCTAAGATGATGCACAAGGTCGGTATGGTGTTGCTCTTGTGCTTGTATTGCTATACTGACTTGCATTAAAACGTAAATTGCTGCTGCTTAAGTACGGCGCGCACTCGGCGACGGACGTGACGGGTTTCGGTATTGTCGCCCACGCGCGCAACCAGGCCAAATCCCAGTTGGGAGATGTGTCTTTCGAGATCCACACGCTTCCGATCATCAAAAACATGGCCAAAGTGAACGAAGCCATCGGCAACTCCTTCAAGCTGCTGGACGGATTCGCGGCTGAAACTTCTGGCGGTTTGCTGCTTTGCTTGCCGGCCGAAAGCGCCGACGCATTCATCAAGGAGATCCGAGAGCTAGATGGCAAGCCGGCGTGGGTCGTTGGGCGTGTTGTAGCCGGCTCGAAGGATGCGACCATTGTACCGGACCCGATGATCATTGAAGTGTCACCGCATGACTAACGCTGTGCACCTAAAAGAGCCCAACATGCTAAGCTGCGGAAATCACTCCAAAGCCGAGTATGTTGTACACACGACTATCGTTTGTGCACGCCTTTAGTGGTAATGATCGAGCGCTTGTCAAATTGCGAAAGCTTTTTTGTGTGGCCATTTTCGGGTCAGTTCAAAAAAGGATCAACTTTTTGACTTGATTGCTGAAAACGATAGTGAGCGGGTACAGGCGGGGTGCCCGCGATGCTATTAATAGGGCCGCACGGTGTTTGCGGACGGCCACGAGCTCAATGGACCCATTGCACTCGAACCTGTTTTTCTATTGTGGGAGTCTGGGGATAAGGCTAGCTTCATCTCAACTATTGTAACCCAACAAAATTTGTCCTTAAAATGAGGACGAAGTAAGATGCAAGATTTTGTCCTAAATAAACACTTTGCGATTTGATTGGATAAAGCTGTGTATCATAGACAGTACACTAAGAAACGCATGCGTCGATATGCGTTTTTTATTTGGTCCAATCAGAATCCACCCCGTGAACTTCACAAAAATAATGCATTTCATAACACACTTTCCCTCAAATAGTAAAGATCGCGACGATGGCTCCTGTCACACAACAGCAGCACCAGCTAACGCAACGATGCCTCCCTATTGCACGACGACGTCGCCGAATGAAAGCCGACGATGAGCTGTGCAGTCTTATTATTTGCCTCGTTGCATATAAGCGTCTCCAAACGGCCAAGAAAAGTGATCCTGTTGTTAGAAAGAGGTTGCCATGGAGAATCCACGCAACCACGCTTTTAAAAGAGAAGATATTCATTATTATCGTATGGACATCTCAACGTTTGAAAACTTACTATCCATTGTGGCCCTCTACCTGGTTACTGACTACTTCCAGTCTCTTCGACGAACCCGAGGGGTGCCCCCACCGTCAGGGCTCCCGATTATGGCATTGTTATTTAATGGGAACCCTTTTTAACCATAAATAATGGCATTGGGCAGCTAGTGTCATCGCATACATTATGTCATGTACTGCGCACAAACAATAAATGAGAGCATAATGTAAAGCAAACCAACACCAATGTTAATGGCCTCGTCGACAGTCTGACTTGACCAATACTCACCATTTTGGCGTAAGAACAGCACCATTTCTAATGTAATTGGCTGCAAGCTGTGGCGCTCTTGCCCGTACGTCGTCCTGGTGACGCTAAAGAACCTCTCAACAAGGTTAGAAGTAGGTGGAATGCAGCTAAGCAGGTTGTACCGCGGCTGAACTGCTGCTAAGCGGCGACGTTTTTGTAGACTCGCCACGAATGAGCCTTCGTCTTCACTTTCCTTCGCTTTGCTGCAGTGTGTGCAGGTTCTTCTATTTCTTCCACGCAGCGGAAGGGCTGCAGCACTGCCTTATCGGCCCTCGTTAGACTTTGGCTCCCTCCCAAGACGGTGGGCCACCGTCACCGGCTGCAATGTTGCAGTGCGCTTTGTCGTGGCTAGCTGGTGGCAGCTACCACCATATTCGCGTGATAACGGGGTTAAGTATTTCGATGTTTTATCGAGTAATTTATCGCGTAATGTTTGCCATAAACGACGTCGACGCTCCAGCTCTCGTTTCAACGACTCATTTTCACGGGCTCCTTCGTGCAGTTGATGCTGCAGTTTCTCGCACTCCGAGCGCCACTTGTTGAGTTCCTCTCACCCCACTGTCACCTGGCCTTCATACATCGTCAATGGCTTCGCTGTCTCCTCAATATCTGATCGTAATTGCTCATTCACATGTCGTGACCCACGCGACTTCCCGGCGTTTAGATCACTGAGAGACGACTTGGCAGTGACAGTTGCTTTACTCGGCCATTCTGAAGCGGTATTATTTTATTATAAATGTCTTGATCGAAAAGGACGAGATACTATTGGATACTTCTTGAGACGCATGAGCCATTCAATGGTAGACCAAAGATTTCATTCCCGACCGGAGCGTGAGGGGTAGGGCACGCATACAACGCATGCGTTCAGCTGACGCACCGGTTGGGAACGGGCGCTAGATCCCATTATGTTGGACCCTACAACATAAGGGGTGTATACCCTAATTCACTTTTGTCGCAACATCTATTTTATGTTGTACCGTACTACATAAGGAATTTTTTTTAATTATAGTTTGTATCGACCTCACTGGAATACAAATATTAAGTTATTTCGTGTGTGTAAAACAAACGAATGCACAGGTGTAGGGTTTGGAATTCCTGCAGAGCACCAGAAAAAGGGTGTCCTCACCCACCAAATATTGTTGGCCGACAGCCACTGATTTCGCTCATTCGAGAAAAAGAGCTGGCACGAACAATGGCGGTTTCCACTGACAAGAAACCCCGTAGCAAACCGGATGAAGCGAGGAGCATGTAATCCGCATACGCTCTCCGGTGGGAGCGACGCATTCGACGAGCAGCTGACAATCAGCACGCCCCCCCCACCCAAAAAAAAGAAGACCGCAGCGAAATCACTAAACGCCCCGAAACCGAAAGCCTGCGTCGATGACGGCAGCGGCGATGATGCGGCGGAGGAGAAGGATGATGAGGCCAAAAGAGCCGAAGCATCGGCAGAAGATATCGAAGTCCCAGTTGAAGCCAACCCCGTGCCTGCGGACGGAGAGGAGACACCATCGACCAACCCAGCGCCGCGAGCGGACGAGAAGGTGGTGGGCAAGAAGAAGGTGCCGCCAGGTAAGAAGAGAGCCCCGGTGCAGGCTCCTGCCATGTGGAATAGTGCCCTTCCGACACCCGGGAAAGATACACCGACACATGCTGCATCAGCTTCCAGGCCACAGTCCCAAAACACTGTAGCTGCGGACGTAGAAGCAGCAGCTGGCGGGATTATATCTCACGTCGAGGCTGGGGAGACGAGTGAAGCATCCCCTTCTATCCGGACAAGCCCAGAAGTCCAATCATCCATCATCGCGAAGAGAAAGCGCGCTGGTACCAGATCATCAAGGAAGCGCCGCCGATGTATCCTTCACGATGAGAGCGACGAAGGCGAAGACGATTCGGTACGCTATGTTTACGTATCCATCATAAAGTTTGTTCCGACGAAGGGTATTCAACATAAGACTAACATAAGACGTCACTGGTTTTGAATACAGGCTCTATTCAGTGGTGCCGAAGACGATAACCCAGAGGCGACAACGACGATTCCGACGTGCTTTGTCGACGGTGACCCCAACATGATGGACTCGGGAGCTCAGACGTGCACCGGTCTCAGCTCAGATGAGGATGAAGATCTGCATGAAGAGGCTGAAGATGAAGACGATGCGGAAGATGATGACTGCACCTTGGTTGCGGACTGGGAAATTGGAGAGCTGACCGACGAGGATACTGATGAAGAATAAGATGAGCTTCCTGCGTCTGCGTGAACAGCTGTCATGTGGATGGATCGAGCCCCAGTGCACATGCTGTCCTCTGGTGGCAGCCGACACCTGGGGTAGTGAGTATGTTTCTTAGTATTTTGAAGGCTCTAACATCCATACTAATGCTTATGTACTGTAGTGCGTCGTGTCAACGGTGAAATGAAGCCCCTCCCGGCTCCAGAATTGGTGCTGGACTATCACCGCTGGATGGGCGGTGTAGACGTCCATGACCAGCTGAGGATGCAGCGATATAGCATCCAGCTCTCCTACAAGACGCAAAGTACTATAAAACTCTCTTTCTCGGGCTGTTCGACATGGCGGTCGTAAACGCCTTCATCGTGTATCGACACTTCCGGAGGATAAACGACCAACGTCCTCCACGACACTTTGCGTTTCTGGAAACGTTGATGGAGCAGCTGCTCGCTATCGTCTCGACCGAACGTTCGAGGTGATCGAGGTAAGTTTATGTTGAATCACATCCAACACAAGGGTGAAAAATGTTCTGGTTATCCCGCATAACGCTAACTTATTTTATGATGCCGCAATTTTAGAAAGCAGCAACCGCTCAGGAACGCACAGCAGCGTCTCCAGCAAGAGGGGAACAGGGTTCGCGTCCGCGCACTGAAAATACTGTGGATCCAGTAGAAGGCGACCACAGGCTGAAAGCGAATCCGGATACAGTTCAGTGTGAGCAGGGGGTGAAACGCCGCCAGCGCTCCTGTAAGGTGTGCGCTGTGTACAAGGTCGAGCCGCGCAAATTCACCAAGTATATCTGCCCGGAATGTTCAAACGGGAACAAACGGTGGCTGATGTTGCTTGTGTATGGATTGCTAGGCTAATGTAACTTGTGGTGGCTGTAGGAACTATCTGTGCAATGTGGGCCGCGAGGGCATAGATACCTGCTTTCGTATATGGCACCTAGAGTGGAATAATCGGAACAACATCCCGAGGACACTGCTCGAGGGACACAAAACACGAGAGCGCCCGCCGGCAACACGACCGGGAAAGAAGCGTAGGCGACGAGCGCAAGGCTTTACTACTGCCAACGCTGGTGGTGACGACGACAGCGGGGGAGATGGCGGCGGGAGCGGGGGAGATGGCGGTGGCAGCGAGGGGGATGACGGCGGCAGCGGGGAGGGTGAGAGTGATGCTGGGATTGAAGGCGACGTCGCCGAAATCGAGGCTGGCAGCGTGTCCAGGTGATCAGAGGTGCGGGGAGGTGTAAGCAATAGGTTGTGTCCAAGAGGGTGGCTATGTCCAATGCAATCAATTGATACCACATTTTTATATTTGTTTCATTGGCAAAAATAAATGAAATCACTGCTGCGGGTCGTGTGCAATGCCACAAAAAACGGGATATAGATAGAAAGGTCACTGCTTATGTTTTTTTGTTAAGCATAAGGTGGTAAGTAGATCACAGTCGCTTTCATAAGTTCCCTTTAAGTTGCAGATGCCGGAACTATACCCTCAAGTGTATTTTATACGCCGCCCCAACCCGCACGTCAAAATTCGAAATTAGAAGGGATCTCTTACAAATTCTCATATTACTGTTTATGGGACGGAATAAAAAATATACCCTCGTAATAAAGCCTGGGAACTAAGGGGTTAAGACCTGGATTACAA